CAGTAAGAACTCTTTTCCCACTAAGTTTTCTCCTTAGTTTTGAGTACCGTCCAGTAGAGGAGGCTTTATAGATTTACAGTTTGGAACGAACCACTTAACCCCTTCATTACTGTGGGATTACGGTAGCAACTTTGGGAAGAATTCTGAGCCATCAGTGGCTTTTATTGCCTCAGAATAGATACTCAACGAAAGAAAACTCTATTATTAGGCTAGAATGAGTCCATTTATCTAGGTGACATTTTCACTTTACCGGAACGTTTTCATTATTACGCTAAGTAAACCGCAGCAATGGTTTTCCAATTTTTAAAAAGCTAGTGAATTATGTGATGTGCTTCAAAAGCTCGTGAAAAATTGTCTATTATGATCAGCATGTCTGAAAACGCCACGACACAACTTTCTATTTGGAACTTTTTGTTCAAACGTCCCATATCATATTGACGCTGTATCTTGAAGTTCCTACCGTAATCCCACAATAATGAAGAAAGTTGGGCGACTCGCTCCACATTGTAAATCTAAGTTGAAGCCTTCCCTACTGAATAGTAGTCGGATCTAAGGAAAAGACCTACTATTGGGGAGAGAGTTATTAGAGATCAAAGTGTACTTACTTTTGGGACACCCTGTATAAATAGTCTTTCTTACGCGCCGTTATTTGTAAATCGCTTTTTGTCATTGTGTCCTATCTTGCTAATTGTCTCAAAAGGAATTGTTAGGCTGGAATTCTCCTTTTCTATTCTTACACTTTAATATGTTCTTCAATTAATTTCTTCCCTATTTTTGAATTTTTGCTTTTCTATTTGAATTGTAATTAGCGTAGTCTTTTTCTGTATGAAGTGTGTTAGCTGTGGTGCAGTTATATTTACCCACTTCATTCAGCTATCGCCTTGCTGGTTACACGCTACCATGGATAGAGAAGAATGTGACTACAAAAGATGCAAGAAACACGGTGAGTTGTCGTAGTGAGTTAAAGAACTGCATGTCACACACTTGAGTGCTGATTTGTACTTGAAGGCGAACATGCATGAATGGAAATGACCGTGAAAACTGGTATAACGGATGTTTTTAAGAAAGCATATTGGGCAAATAGGCATGCCAGTGGAAGTTGTTTTTTCAAGGTGCTAGGCCGGAAGAACAAATTGCATAGCTTTGGGGGTTGTTGAATTATTATTCTGCATAAAATCGTACAGCAGCTTTTTGGCTTTATGGTTTTAAATTTATTTGATTTTTACAAATGCAAAGATATCTCGAATATTCTTTTTCCAGGCTATCGATCAGCTGATCACATGGAGAGAGTACGAAATTCAAGTGGCGGCCTATAACCATAGGGGATTGGGTGTTTTTAGTAAAAGCATCGATGTGACTACAGCTGAAGGAGGTAATTTTGCGATTGTTATGATTTTTTTAGGAATAATTTTGTCAATTGTTTTTTAAAGACGTATTTTTCTGGACCTTTCACTTGAAATAGTTAATGTCATGCTTATTTATTGCCTTTTTGACATTCTAATGGAGTTGCAATTTAGAAACTTTTTGAAGCCTGACTCCATTTTTTTCCTATTTTTAGTACCCACTCAATCACCGAGAAATGTAATAGCGAATGTGTTGAACTCAACTGCTGTACAAATTAGATTCACTGCTCCTGATCAGCAGCGGATTCCTGGTGTTAATCTCGGTTACAAGGTTTGTTTGGCCGGAATCTCTACGAAAATTGATGCCTGTCCTTTCAAGGTGGAGTTCTGGAAAGGTGTCCCACAAAAAGGTGTACTGTATCGTCAAGTTATGGTAGATCCAACATCGAAAGATCTTGTAGTGGTTGTCGAAGGGTTGGAGAAGTATGGTCAGTGAGCAATGGATTCTATAATTTTTCTAGAATTTTTCTTCAAAATGGGTGATTATAGGGCATTACAATGTGACAGTTCTTTGCTATACTTCACCTGGAGATGGTCCAAGAAGTACTCCTGTATCTGTGGTTACCGACGAGGATATTCCAGGACCTGTTAGTGGACTGAGCATAGCTGAGGTGATCTGAATAGCTGATAGTGTGATCGCAATCCAATTATAGCGGTTTTTAATTACATTTTTTTTCTAGGTAATGTTCAATGGTGCAGTGGTTGCATGGGATCTACCGGAACATCCAAATGGCATTATCACGAGATTCGTGGTTAGTAGACTGCTATCTTTGATTTTTACGTCTCAATGGATTTCGTAATCCGATAACCAACGTGATCTCATTCAGGTGCGGTATTGGAACGATGCTTTCCCTAATGACGTCACGGTACAAGAATTTGACGGTACACAAAGGAACCTCACTATTGAGGGTCTTAGCCCGTCCACTCATTACACGGTAATTGCCATGATCAATTATTTGAAAATTTATATGTACTTTTGACTCGAGAGCAATTTTTTTCTCTTATGTGTTTCTGGCAATTTTCTGTTCAAGGTGGACATCATGGCATCTACGATCAAAGGTGATGGCCCACGAGAAGAAACGAAATTCGAATCTGGAGTGCCACCAGGTAACATTCGTTTAGGATTGTTTTTTGAAGTTCACATTTGGGAAAAGGGCTCATTCGTCCGTTTT